TGCCATCTAAGTTTCCTTGTAACTCAAAGGGCCCAATTACTTTTCCATTTAATATGCCGGTCCATAGGTTAACCTTGAATTGATATTGGGATTTGTCTTGTCTCATCAAGTGTGGATTTTCATTACTCCAACTATGTAGATTGTGAAGATTTAAATACCCATCTTTCTTGCACGTTGTTTCATCCGACCATAGAATTTTGTCTAGGAAGTGGGGATCTTCACTGTGCCTTTGCAGCATTACACGGCAAAATGTGACCCGTAGCGGATAGTCCCGCGGTAATAACGTCTGCACACGCCTGTAGTGATATGGGTGAAGCTTGTGACGTTTTAATATTCGATGTGCAGAACTTTTCGGGATTCCTGTAGCTTCTTCTATGGCACGTACCGAAGTAGTCGAGTCATTTTCTATCTCCTTGAGAACTTCTTCATCACGATCCAATCTAGGTCTTCCAGCGCTGCTCCTATTGGATGGCATACGACCCTCCGAAAACGCTTGATGCACATTAATAAACACTCGATAATCAGGATATCTTTGAGCATTTGGGTATCTTTCTGGATACAGTCTGCTAGCAGCGTTAGCATTACATCGGCATTCTCCATAGATTAAATGCATATTAGCGTATTCCTGTGGTGTGTACGGTTGCGGCATGTTAAACGCCAAACAGTCCAAAATGCGCCAGAACTCTAAATCACAAAACACACAATCGTAGTCCAAGATAATGCCAGGTCAGTTCAGTTTGCAGATCACTTCCAGTCCAAATAATGCCAGGTCAGTTAAGTTTGCAGGTCGATTCCAGTCCAAAAAGCCAAGCCAAAAGTCGATAGTATGTACGAGGGCCACGTAAGTTGAATTGGGTACGGTGCGCAGTAAACAAAGGAGCAGAGCGTACTGAACCGGCTTGCTGAGAATAATAACAGCTTCTCTACCTGCCCTGTTGTTGTCTCTTTTTAACGTAAATATCTCTATCTATCTATCTCTCTCTAACATCTAAGGTATTAATGCCCCATTCGAATTCCTAGAAATTGTAACAGGAACCCATTTTGGGCATGTAGTAAAAGTGATTACTGACAATTACAATTTAAGGAATTTGGCCCCTGTTAAGAAATAATAGGCCCATATTTTTTTATAACTTGTTTTCCTAGAGTATTATACCATTTTGGAATATTGGTTAGTTGCGTCAATTTTTAAAAAAACTTGCCATACTAGTGTTCATACTTTTTTTTTACACCACGATAAGTTAAATTTGGTTAAAAGTAAAAGTCTTCAAAAAATTTAGGGAATAAAATAAGTTTCATTAATTTTCGTGATAAAACAAGAGTTATTCTGGAGTTTTTAAGAATTGTGGTAGATAGCAGTACTATTCAGGTTGCCTATAAAAAAAAAAGAAAAAAATATTTAAAAAATTGTGGTCATGGTAGTGAAAAATATCATAAACGGTCTCAATTTCTGAAGAATTTCATTTTTTTTATATAACTTAAAATATAATTGGGATATATTTTTTTTTCTTTTTTTACCCGATTAGTCCGGGGCAGGTCTATCCTCCGGTGTTGGCTTATCGTTGAATTTTGGGACACGTTGTATATGTATTATAAGTACAAAGTAATATGTATTATAAATATATATATATATATATATATATATATATATATATATATGTGAACTCCAAAATTTTAGTACTCCTTAGGTTAACTGAAAAGACTGCAAATCTTTAGAGTAGCAGTTACAAGAATGTTGTATATTCTTATAGATCCATGATTTTAGCAATTTATAACACTTTTTTCGTTGAAACTAACATCTTTCTTATATTGTTCTTAAAAAAAATATGTCAATCCAGTTTTGGAGTAGGATTACTGATTACTTACAGGAGATTATTAGGTCAATTTTTAAAACTATGATCAGTCCGACCTGCAGTTGTCTCTTTCGGTTGTATAGCTCGATCATACGGGCATATTGCGACAGCAATAGATATGTTAAAACTAATTTTGTAAGTATAGCTCGCGCATTTGACCACTCGCTTGACTCCCAACCGATGCGCTCAATGTGTAAGGGTTATGAATGAAAACTGCCGTAGTGTGTATACAAAACTTTTTTTAAGAAAATAAATATTTATGTAGTCATTGAATTAATCATACTTGTTTTTGTTTGCACGTTGCAGAAAGGTCACATACGTCTTTATGATAAAAATTTGGGAAAACCGATAGAAGTGTATGAAGGCAATTTGTACTAATTGCCAGGAATTTTTTTTTCCAAATAGATTACCAAGTCCAGTTGTTAACAAGTGGTAAAATTAAAAATATTGCACAACCGACTTCAATATAAATTATTAAAAGGATAACTCAAAAAAATCACAAAAACTATTGGTCAGACCTTGATCAAATTTATATGGGACCAAATGAGAAGCACGACTTACCAAAAAAAAGGATCATCGAAATCGGTTCACCCAGAAAAAAGTTATGAGGTAACACATAAAAAACATACAGTCAAATTGAGTACCTCCTCCTTTTTGAAGTCGGTAGAAAAAAATCACTAAAATCGGTTCACCTAGAAAAAACTTATGAGGTAACACATTAAAAAAATACAGTCGAATTGACTACCTCTTCCTTTTTGAAGTCGGATAAAATGGTGGTGGACGTTAGGGCAAATATAAAGCCTGACTAATAGTTTCTAGCTACCAACTCTCGGAAGATTTAAAATTATTCTTTTCATTAATATTCATATTTATCTTGTTTTCTTGAAGCTTAATAGACGCATAATAATTTATCAAATTGACTAACATTAGACAAGTCTAATAAATATTATTGAATGGGGTCACTGACGTTTATTAGTTTTCTTATTATCTTAGATAACAGAAACGGTGCCAGGTGGCCTATTTTTTACACTCTCAGCTTTCTATTTTTGCGTGTTGAAACGGGCAAAATTCAAAAGGTATATTATTATTAAATAATATATTATATTCTTTGCCCAAACATCGTGCGGTGTGACGCAAGATAACCGTTCGCCTCATCGTATCCCGCAGTTATCACCATCGCCTATTTGGCGGTATAACTAGCTTGAAGATATAAAGTACTCAGACCTGCGAAGATAAGCAAGGACAAAATTACACAAGTGGTAAAATTAAAAAGTTTGTACAACCGACTTCAATATAAATAAAATGACATCATCAATGTAGTCAGAGTCAATTAAACACGCATTATTAAGGATAACTCAAGAACTACTGGTCAGATCTTGATCAAATTTATATGGGACCACATGAGAAGCACCAGCTTTCAAGAAAAAAAAAACAGATTCATCAAAATCGGTACCTAGAAAAAAGTTGTGAAGTAATTAATACACATTAAAAAAATACAGTCAAATAGAGAACCTCCTCCTTTTTTAAGTCGGTTAAAATATTTAGTAAATCAATGATCGACAATTGCTAGATATTTTATAACTTTGGCAAATAACCCTACTACAAGGGAGGGCTATTTCCAATTACAAAGTTTACGGTTTCCAGGCAAATTCAATGTAAAAAACCTATGGATGACTGATGTAATTTAAAAGACTGTGGGGAACTTGTTTATTAAGGGCGACAGAATTGACAAAGCAAAATGAGATATGTATAGACAACTAGGTGATACTCGTACCCGCTCGCTTCGCTGGGCGCACGATAATATTTTATTTCGGAACATATTAAATTTTTTGATGGAACACCGTAAAATCCGTTCTTAATAGCCTTCTACTTGTGAAATAAGTAACTACACTAAATTTGAAGTCAATCGGGTGTGTAGTTTTAGAGATACCGTGATGAGTCAGTCAGTCAGTGGTATTTCGCTTAAATACAATACTTAAAACGTGCAGATCAACTTGCCGGTACAAGACTTCATTATCGATCTCTTTGTATACATGTTATATATGATTAAGACGAGGCGAGGTGGCACTATCGTTTATTTTCACAAAGTGATATTGTCACTGTAATATATGTAATACGGCGGTATGGAGTTTCGTCTTGCCTACTTAATAGGCGTGCTCACCGACAAATTGCGGAATAATCGTTCCGAAAATTACTTGATCCGGCTGATAAGCGCGGCAACAGTCTTATTTATTAAAGCTATTTAGTATTTACATGATTTTAATGACATTTTACTGTGTAGTGGCGGTGTAACAATAATTATAACTATCCGGTGTCGTAAGAGGCAACAGAGAAAAACAAATCACGAGATGGGCAACAGCATCTTCTTATTAACGACTAAAAATTATAAAACTGCGGTTGCCAACCCGCTTGCCAAGCGTGGCAATTACGACAAATATACCCCTTATGAGGTAATTTTTAGTGGAAGCCTATATTCAGCTTTAATAGGCTGTAACAGTAATGGTACTAAATCCAGCCCCTTATCTCATCCTGTGAATGTCTTAAGCGGCAATGCCAGCAATATCTCATAGGTTTCGATAGATGGCGGTATAACCAATTATATATAGAAGTAAGTCAAGCTTAAAATACATAGCGTCGAAGGTGCGCGACGTCTGTGACTCTTTGGTCACTAATTCACCTGACGGGCGCGACTATTAAGACAAATCTTCCCGACAGCGGTAGAGGCCATGGCCAGCAGTGGGCTTTTACGGGCTGATGAAGAAGAAGGAATATTTGTTCTTAGAACAAGCTTAAAAATGTATTAATGACATCAATATCGTATCGTAATATGATGATACGTAACAGGTAAATACGTAGGTTTATTTTGAATAAATGATTTATTTGTCACACACACAACGCATAATAAAAATAATTCCATTTATTTTTACTACGAAGGAAACAAAAAATAACAATATACACATACATTGAGTTGCAGCAACGAAATCATCCGACTCAGCATGATGCTGCAGTGTTGCCACGACCACAACACTGTTCTTCTGTCGGTGCCTCATATTACCAAGCAGTGAGTGGGACATATTTCTGTCACCATAATCATCCTAACGATATCAGGTGATATCGTTACTTCAAAGACGCTAAACTTCAAACACTTACATGTAACCTCTTAAGCAGTCCGGTGTCGGTGTCGGCGTTGGCGTTCGCCGACTGCTTGGCGGTGTTCCAGAACTGTTTCTGCGCGGAGTACCGGTTCATAGGGCATATCTTGAACAGGCAATCTGGGGAGCGTTAAATATTTACAATAACAGCGTATTAGTTAATGAAATACACTGATGGATAAATAAATCCACCTGCTAAACGTGGCGATGAAGTCAAATATTTCCAACCAGAAAGGTCGAAAGAAACACAGTTTGGTTCGAGTTAACTATTCGACTACCCAAGAACCATGCATTTTGTTTACAAGCTCTGGTACAGTGTAGTGTTATGTTCCTTGTTCATACTAAATCTGTCTAAATAATAAAAATATTTTATAAAATATATCTAAGAACCATCCTGATTAAACAGGCCACAAAAGAAAATTACAAATTAAAAATCGGTCCATCCGTTTAGAAGCAATGATGTTACAAACAGACAAAAGCTTTAAACTTATTAAAAACTTCCTTTCCCAGTGTAGTAACAGTCTCACGATTTTTTTTACTTATTATAAGCCAGTGCTTGACCACAATCTCACGTGGTGGTAAGTGATGATAAAGGCCTATATGGTGGGAAGTATTGCCTTGAAGCCGCCAATATTATATTCGGACGGAAACACAGACGCCGGCAAATAATTCCACTCGTTTGCTGTACGCATTACAAAAGACGATGCAAACCGTTTGGTTCTAATGCGTGGAATATCGACAACGACCCGCCGACCGCCTGGTTGTGCGATGGTGGAAAGGGTAGGAAGGTATTAAAGCATCTGAATTTTTAATTATTAGGTTTCTATGAACCTTTTTCATAAGCGATATTTCATGCCGGCCTACAAAGCGCAGGTCCGACTCTTTGGATCAAGGGTTTTTACGTGGTAGAGCCATGCTGCAGCTATATTAGTAGTATAGTTGTAGCACGAATGGGTCCGCTCGACGAGGGAAGGGCCACGCTCTCACAGAATACCAGCTTAAAATAGCAGCTTAACAACACTGCTGTGTTTCGTATGGTGAGTGCAGAGACCCGGAGACCCTTTTTACTGGCATTTTATCTTAGTCTTCACGGGTAACAACACATCTGTATGATTCTTTATTGAGGATAGATGTGGATGTCTATGGGTCACAGCAACCACTTACCATCAGGTGGACTGTGTGTTCGTTTGTCACCCTATCCTATAAAAAAAAAGAATACCCCAATACAAGCTCCTTCCACATGACCGCATTCAACGGAAAGCGGATTTTATTAGATTCAATCTTTGTCTTATTATTTTATCTTAAGTCTTAAGCAGATTCGATTCTCGCACATAACAAGTATTTGTATAGCCTACACAATATTAAAAATCACGATTCGACTCTTTGTTCTTTTGTAATTTATCTATGTAAAATATCTCCATACTACTCTATCCTACTACGGGGGTAAGGTTTTAAAAACAATACTAAAAAGAAGTAATAATAATGTTTTGAAACATACCTCGGAACTTTTTGGGCGGATCTGTCAGATCGCCGGCTTCAGGACAGACCACGCATCTGTCATCTACCAACCTGGTAACAGAAATTGAAAATTTTATTTTATTACGCTGCTACAACTTCATAATATGCAGTCTGGTGTTCATGGTGTTCAATAAAAAATAACATAAATACGATATCCTGCCGTAACGCTGTAGCATTTATAGGAAACAGCCTTAAAGTAGTTCGCCACAGTACGACCGTTGCTAATTGCAATTTTATTTTATTATTAAAACCACGTGTTCAACAGTGAATATCTTAGGTACACCTACATATCTGAGAGATAAAATATACATATCTCTACAACATACGAAACACAGCAGCATCATGCTGCTATTTTGAGCAGGTATTCTGTGAGAGCTTGGTCCTACTCCGGTCGAGCCGACCCATTCGAGCTACATGGACAGGCAGAAAATGGTAATAAATCAAATAAAATCAAATTAATTTATTTGCATAATACAGGTATAAAAGTTGTTACAGAAAATTAGAATATATACACTGTATTTGCACATCTTATGAGGTGTGCATATACAAATCCTGATCAGATTATTAATTAAAATACTGAATATGCAATCAGGCATAAGATGTTGTTATGAACAGTGCCTAGAAGGACATCCACACTCACCCCAAAGTACTGAGAAACCCTGATACGCTGCCCTCCGCGTATAGGGAGACGATGTCCCCGAGGTGCAAGAAGCTGTCCCCCATGTTGCCTTCTCTTCACCCCCACCATGCAACGACACCTGGCAACAAAATATATTATATTTTAGGACACAAAAAGTTCAATAAAAACTTACAATTTAATTATACTTAAAATTTTACGCAGATAGTTATGTTTAGACATTTTTTACGAAACGGCGAAGTTTGACGAAGATATAGCAATACAGTACCAAAATAAAATACACATAAACTTGATATTTCCTCGCAGTTAATTGCTTCTATTCATGGTCAGGAGTTGTAGGCCTTTGTATCTTTATTTTTTTTCTAAGGGTAATGCAATAAAGATTTAAAATAAAATTATATTTTATTCATACAAGTGTAACCATGGAAGTTAAAGCTACATCCTATATACGTCTTACAGCTGGACGCAGTATCTCTCATATATGTTTTAGGGCAAAAAAGTGTTCATCTCGTTGTCCCAAAACGAGTTGGCAGATTTCACATGTCTTCGAAACATTTTTTTTTATTTCTCAGACATGTTCAAGACAAGTTCGGCCTCACATGGAATACTGTTCTCATCTCTGGGCCGGGGCACCCCAGTGCCAGCTCCTTCCACTTGATCGCGCATCCAGCGCAGAGCGGTTCGAATCGTCGATGACCGAGTTCTTTCTGATCGGCTCGATACACTGGCACTGCGTAGAGATTGCTTATTTTATCGCATCTATCACGGGGAATGCTCTGAGATATTGTTCGGACTAATTCCAGCCGCTCAATTTCACCATCGCACATCACGACAAAACTCATGTTACCATCCATACCATCTGGATGATTGGCGGTCCATCACTGTGCGATTTAGAAGAAGTATTCTCCCTCGCACAACTTCCTTGTGGAATCGATTACCACCAGCGATTTTTCCGGACCGATACGACTTAGGAACCTTCAAGAAAAGATCTTACTTACCTTTCTAAAAGGCCGGCAACACATCTGCAATTCTCCTGGTGTTGCGGCTGTTCATGGGCGGCGGTAGTCACTTACCATCAGGTGAGCTGCATGCCCGTTTGCCCCTTCTTCAATAAAAAAAAATGTTGGCTTCCTTACAGTTTTCCTTCACCGCCGAGCACGAGGTAAATAGGCCTAAAATTGCCATGCCAAAATTGTACACCTACAGCCGTTGTAATTCAGGGGCTACATGCACAAACAAGTGGTAAAATTAAAAATTTTGTACAACCGACTTCAATATAAATAAAATGAGAACATCATCCAATGTAGTCGAAGTTAATTAAATACGCATTATTAAGGATAACTCAAAAACGGGGACTCCAATGGGAAGAAGCGCCAGCTTTCAAATAATCATCAAAATCGGTTCACCTAGAAGAAAGTTCTGAAGTAACACACAAAAAAATATAGTCGATTGAGAACCTCCTCCTTTTATTGAAGTGAGATAAAAAATTAGAGCTGATTTCAAAAACTTAAAAAAAATAATTCCATGTAATTAGCTTCTGTCGTAAGACAGAAGGCATTCAAAAATTACGAGAAAAGCATTTGAAGTCGGTTCTATTTTTATCAAAAATTTAATTATTTTACTATTTTCAACGGTTTATCCTTAAAGAATATAACAACTAACAACAATATTAAAATATTCATTCGCTATTTTTCTACCTTAGGGATGTATTTTGTTCTTAAAATTGGTATGGGACCATCCCTGAAGAATAAACTATTTAACAAAAAATAATAAATAAAATAGTTGTACCAAATCATTTCTAAAACCGGTTAACATAATTTAAAAAATATGTGCGTCGTTTGTATAACCTTTCTTTTTTTTTGAATTCGGTCAATAAAATATAACTTGAAAGACATTGGATGTAGTTACACAAAAAGGATTCAACCCCAAAACGGGTCACAAGTATATGTGCCAAAAACTATTATTTAAAGTTGCAAGCGATAAAAAGTAAAATTACAAACTAATTGAAGCTTTTCATTATCTTTCGTTCCACAATTTTATGTAAAATTCCGTATAAAATTCTTATATGGCTATATAAATCCTCCACCTAGACATATCTTGGTCTTGTTATAGATAACAAATTCAATTGGACCTATCATATAGAATACGTTTGTAATATGCAAAGGCAATTTTTACCTAATATTAGGTACAATCCTTAAAAACCGCATACCCTTCAAAGTTAAGTAAATGCTTTATAACTCATTAGCTGAATCTTTTATACAATACGGGCTTATTATGGGCGCACATATAAAATATAATACCAAATATATAAGCTTCAACTAAAAATTGTTAAACACCTATTATCTCCAAACATTAAGGAAAGATTTCAAAGGGCTAACGTAAAATTATTTAAATATTGTAAAAGTTTACCTCTTTATACACAATTTAAATATGGCTTACTCAAAGAACAACATTTAAATGAAAAACTTGCCAAAAAAATTAAATATTCCGTACACACGCGAGCAATCGCACAAAATCGGTTTTATACTACTCGTGCTAATAACTATCTACGGCAAACGCCCAGCTACTTGTATAGTTCACCGATTAATAAAAAACTTACCCTCTAATTTATGTAATAACATTACACAAAATATTAAAACAAAATTAAAATCTTACTACTTAACACTGATCTTGAAACTTAGAAATGAACATACCAAGCATCTAGTTATTTAATTACCTTATCAAAATTATATAAATTAGCACGATTTTTAAACTATTTGCAACACAATGTTACGTATACGAGTTGTATGTATTCTATTTCTCTCTTTTTTTTTTATAGAAAAGGGGGCAAACGAGCATGCGGCTCACCTGATGGTAAGTGACTACCGCCGCCCATGAACAACCGCAACACCAGGGGAATTGCAGATGCGTTGCCGGCCTTTTAGAAAGAATCTCTTTATCAAAGCCTCTAGAAATATCGATGTAGATGATAGCATTATTTATAACCAAATATCATTTACAAACCACAAAGGTTTTTTTACTTATACTTTTGTATTCAATTTTGAAATGATAACTAAATAAATAAAATAATTTAAAATTAAAAATTTTGTACGGCCGACTTCAATATTAGTTATTTAAGAATAACTCAAAAACTATTGGTCTGACCTTGATCAAATTCATATGGGACCACACGAGAACTATCAGCTTTCATATAAAAAAAAGAATCATCGAAATCGGTTCATCCAGTACAAAGTTATGTTACCTCATAACTTTGTACTGGATGAACACATAAAAAAAATAAAAAAACATATAGTCGAATTGAGTACCGTCTCCTTTTTGGAAGTCGGTAGAAAAACAACTAAAAAATATGACGCTTATTGTTCAGCAGTAGACTTTTGTTAAGCTGTAACAGTAAGAGATGGAGAAGCAAGAGAGAATATTCTTCTTTTCTGCCGACTTCCAAAAAGGAGACGGTACTCAATTCGACTGTATGTTTTTTTTTTATGTGTGTTACCTCATAACTTTTTACTGGGTGAACCCATTTCGATGATTCTTTTTTATTTGAAAGCTGTGTACTTCTCGTGTGGTCCCATATGAATTTGATCAAGGTAAGACCAATAGTTTATGAGTTATTCTTAATAGCTTATATTGAAGTCGGCTGTACAAAATTTTTAATTTTTAATTATTTTTCTTCTTCATCAGCACGTCAAAGCTGGATATATTTCAATTACGTTTTCTAAGGTTTTATTTACATTTGACCCTTATCTAAAAAGACAATTATTGCGATATCTTCATTTAATATAAAGTTATTAAAATTTAAGAAACAACGATTTTTATAAGCACTACGTGTTCAGTGATGTGTGTAGGCAACGCGGACAAAGTCGCGAGTATCGGCTAGTATAGAATATGGGTGACAAACGAGCACACAGTCCACCTGATTGTATTGCCCATAGATTATCTAAATACAATATTTTATCCGAATCATTAGAGCCATTTCCAAGAAACCAATTACACGTATACGTGGGGTACACTGAAAGTTTTGCGTCTACAATTCCTACGTAATATATTTACTGCTTCTCAAATTATTATCCATTACATGTTAAGCACTTTTTCATTCGTCTAAACCATTTTAAAAACATAAGGACCATTGCTCTAAAGGGCATGATTTTCACTTGAAAGTTCCTCTTATCAAATGTTTGATTTTTAGCAAGATAAAATAATTGCATGGTGTCATTGCGGAAGGCTGGATTGTGTGCGAGATGGGTCATGAGCTCCATCTTTTTAGAAGCCAAAAATGACTGTCTTGTTCGCGGTGTAAACCGAAGTATTGTCATCGTGCAATATGCTGCGACTTCTTGGTCACTTTTCCCTAAATTTTCAAAAGACCCTGAGCAAATAAATGGTGGTTTATCAATCAACATTAACTGCCCTTTTGCTCATAAAGTGGGATCGTGCAGACGGGACCGGTCTAGGAGAAACAATTAATTGACCTGGCCTGGCTCAATTTTGTTGGTTTGCTATCAATGCGACACCTATACAGAAGTTGCCTTATATCCGGAATGTAACAATATATCCTCTCCGTGTTTCATCTCATGTCACAATTTCATACACAATATTTGAACGTCCGTGATAAGCTAAGTAATTTTTAATACCGTTAATATAATAGATTTTCACAAAGTAATGCATGATTCTATTAATTAATTAAAAATTTGTTTAATTTACTTGCATATATATATATATATATATATATATATATATATATATATATATATATATATATATATATATATATATACTTCGGGGACGCTCGCAATGTATCCGCTCCAATGACACTTATTTCAACTGGTGTAATCTTATTGCAGGTGTACCCCAAGGTGGCGTCTTGTCTCCTTTACTCTTCACCGTTTTTATTAATTCTATAACGAAAATAATATCCTCCAACTTCCATCTTTATGCAGACGATTTGCAGCTTTACCGTCACTTTGAGGCATCTGAGGCTTAAATTGGCGATAGATGCACTGAATGACGACTTGGATAGAATTAGTCTTTCGTCCAGATCCCATGGTTTAACTATAAATCCAAGTAAGTGTCAAACGTTAATAGTAAG